TTTTTATAGTGAACTGGATTTGCAAACAAGCCGATGGCTTATCTAAATGATGCTGAAATACAAAATAAGTATTAATAAAATACTAATTCTATACTATTGCAAACTATCAGTTGAGCAATAATGTAATCATCTGATTATAAGTAGATAATGAAGGAGAAGTCCATATTGATTAAATCTACCAGATTCTGAGATAAATGCACGTATTGATTGATTTATTTCAATGTTTTCCTGTACATAATTTTCAACAATTCCATATAAAGCTTTCTTATATCATATCCATACTGTATAATAATACCTATTATTTCTAATAATAGCATAATTTGGACACACAAATAAGTAATGAATGGTATTTTTATAACAGGTCCCGCACATGCGGGATAGGTCATTTGACATGAATCAGTTTTATGTGAATTTAAATCACTACAAGCTGATCTGAGTCATGAAAGGATATGCCTTCGATTCTGTGAAAATGGAAATGCTAAAACATCTCCCAATATTAACCATGCTATTACAGAATCTGTTCACTTGTTTTTGTATGTAAAATATTTTTGAACGATTACATCCATCTAATGATTGTTTGTATGTGTGATATGCCAGTAGAGGTATATGTGTACAAGCATGTGCATACACATGAAAAAAAAATGTTTGTTTGGCTAGGTACCAGTATATGAATAGGTTGTTTAGTGCGACTTGTATATTAGCATCATCATAGTTTCAACAGACAGTTTATGTATATCAAATGTTAAATGTCTTTGTAGGGAGAATTGCATATCAAAACTGTCATTATTGTATTACTTATGAGTAGAACTTTTTAAGTATCTGGCATGATACATTTCCTTGGTCCACAGAAACATGTTACCAGTAAACTGACTTGATAAGTAGCATAGCAGTCAGTGTGGTTGGAAACTAATTAAGCCGTCACTACTCAATTAAGTAATTAACAGACAATTGCAAGTGATAATACCCACCTGACACTAATTGCCCTGTTAATCCCTAATCCACCATGAGTTGACATTGAGCTCATCTTGCTAATGAGCTGTTGTGAGCGTAACGAGATGATAAACATCAAAGGTGGGGCAGGCTTTGATCAAGTGTTCTGTAGAAGAGATTATGCCACTTGTTTAATGTTTATTTAGGATTAGCTACATCCCTTGATGCGACCAAGACCATACTTGAGGTTATCAGACAGTTTGTCTGGATACAGCCTGATGTCTCAACTGTACTTATTGGATTCTGCCTTGTAGCAAACTATGTGTGTGACAAGGACTTTGACCACTCTGTGCAGATGCATAACAATGCATAATGAACTTGGGGTATGATTCAATTATGTCACACAAGTCAAAGATAGGTTCCACTGTATTTAGAAACAGACGATAGATGCAATACTGTGTAACTTTATAACAATCAAATGATTTACAATTACCCTTGAAAAGTTCCAAAACCAAATAGAACTACTTAAATTATGATTACACTTGACCAATATATTTGGCAGTTTTTGCCGTTATTGTTAATCTGAATTAAAGATAGGATAAATGATAAAAATATGATAATGCATATCACACACAAGTGTCTATTATACGCAAATAAATAAGTCTTGTATACATTGATTAATTGGAAAGGGTCCTAATTGGGATTGTTCACTAGCCAATATATTAGCAAATATTCCCATGGGCGCTTATTAGAGCGAGGCGCTTATTACGTCAAATACTTTAGTTCTGTTTTTATGTATAAGAACCTATTTTATGCAATTTGCATTGCCTTGTTTACCTTTCCTTATGTTTTGATGTAATGCAAACATTTGAGAAAAATTCAGGTGAGCCTGCCTTATGGCACTACAGGAATTGTTTTCAGAAGATCAATTACAATTTTGTATTTTCTGTACAATTTACTGTTTGCTATGGCTTTTTTACATTGGTTAACATGGTTTGGTTAACAGTTGCTTGATAAATTGTCATTACCTTACTCATTGAGAAACCAAATTTTTACCCTTTGTCAATATATGTGTGTTTCTTATATTTTTAATAACAAGCTTTTAAAGATGTTATAAATTGTTTCAGGCACCTGGATTTCACAATGACACCAGATCAGACAAGTCATACAAAGGACTCTCCGGATGATGAATAATCCTCCCCAGAACAACTAACAGGTTCACCTCAGAAAGTGATGATTCTGAATGAATAATGCCACATCAGTGTGATTCTGTAGGTTGTTTTATTACGACATTAATCAAGTCTAAAGGAATCAATACCACAGCAGTGAGACTGTTTATGTGGTGTACACTGACACTGACTATACAAATCTGAATGACTTTTGTGGTTTACTGCACAAACATAATTGACTTTAGATATTCTTCTACCTTGAAATTCTTCTGAGATTTGACTAATTTGTTTATTTAGAAAATGGCATTGAAGCATCTGTTTCTGTTTTTTAATGTTCTTGCAAACACCTCTGGTTACTGAACCAATGAAATGTCATAAAATCAATAAATATGATTTTTTATCTTAACAATTTTTTTGTTTTGCTTCTTTAAAGAAATATGATATTGATCATTCATAACATAGGTGCTAACATATATCAAATATACTAATGCCCTGAATGTTTTCCTACAATTAATACAGCTCACTGAACGAAGTTTTTAGTTCCATGTCAGTAGAAAAGTTACATTGATATTTTTATGTACCAGTACTTTATTAGGTGTTTTCTGTGGATGCCATTAGTCTTATGCACCCATTTGGGTTAATGATATTCTGTTTCGAACTTCAATGAAACTCGTCTGTCAAGATGTAACAAGTATTGATACAGTTCCAAAATAAACTTTTAATCTCTCCAGGAACAAAGGCCCAAGTGAGCACATAGCCAATGACTTTCATTTTTTTGTCAGAGTGAGTATGGTGTTATGCCACTTTATGAGCAAAATTCCAACAATATCATGATGGGTGACACCAAGCAATGTACCGATGTGGTGAATCGAATGCTTCAACCACTAGGCTAAAACAAACTGGGAATATGAAGATGATATGTAAGGATACCATCATACCAGGACTGAATGCTTTTCATTTAATACGCTGAACATCTAAATTGAAATATATATGAACTTGAAAAATGTTTTCACCAAAAGTACATGCCCATAGATCTCAACTTCAAGGGGATATTTACAACTAAAATAGCACAGAATATTACTACAGCTATCTGCTATGCCCAGGCTAACATTATTTACTAGGAGAAAGACATCTCGAAAATTTGCATCCGGATACCTGCCGGATACCAGCCGGATACCTTCAGCAATGTTCAATTTTCATGGTTAGTTTCCAATATATTTTTAGGTGTTTCACACTTAATTGAACAAAATGCACCCCCCAAATTGTGACATGTTTTTTGAAACTCAGAATGGGGTATCCGGTGCCGGATCCCTGGACACCCAGATTGAGGTATCCGGTGAGGTATCCGGTGCCGGATACCCGGATTCCAGGTGACATACTTTCCGGTGAGGTGTCCATGCCGGATACCACAGATCTGGTATCCGGCAAGGTATCTGCCACCGGATACCCGGACGCGTTTTGGGTAAGTGTCCGGTGGTATCCGGCAGGTATCCGGATACCGGAAACTGCATTTTTTTTGCTGTGATAAGAGACGCCAGAGAGCTTGCTGGTTTATGTGATATAGGTAATGTGACGTTCCTCCTTATCTCCACTGAGCGAGAGTTGATTCAACACTGTTTGGGACAGAACTTCAGTTATATCACAGCTGTCCATCTTAATGTGATAGGAAAGCACTTAAAATACAAACATCCTAGCAAATTAGTCTATTAGTTTGTTATTTTTTGTTGGGAACATGACATGTGGACCGAAACAATGAAACTGCTCCCACTATGTTGCAAAACTGACATACATGTATTTCTTAAAGGTTTCCCTATATATACTCTGCAAAAAATGAAACGCAAAATTAGTAAAATCGTAAATATCTGATACAAAAGAAACACACACACACAAAAATGATTGGGAATTTCTGCATGGATTGGGATTCATTTGAGTGGAATTAATGCGGTATTGCAGAAAATTGGTGAAAAGACGGAAATATCGCAAAACCACAACCACGTGAGAGCCTGGCGCCGAAACACACCAACATGACATGCACGTGCAACATCACTTGTTGGGCTGTAAAACATTGGATTTTGCACTTGCATGTCATCACAATATAGCAAGTGATCAGCAAAACAAACCACGACTGACCGACAGCAAACAGGAGAATAATCTTCAGATGGAGCCAGGATTTTCCACGGTGCACCACGCACCATTACGAGACCGTGGAACCGTCACCAGACACACGGGACAACACGTTACCTACCCAGATCCGGTCGACCATGTGTCACAACTAGAGCACGGCTACGCCACTTTCGTGAAAGAACCATCACCTCTACAACGACAATTTAACGACGCAAGGTTACGCGGATGAGATTCTTCGGCCACACGTCCTTCCCATTATGCAACAAGCGAACGTTATTTTCCAACAAGACAACCCCCGACTTCACACGGCACGACTGACAACAGCCTTTTTTTCTGGAATCACAACTTCCAGGTTCTACCATCACCCCCCCCCCCCCCCCCCCCCCGAAAAGTTAATATATATGGGGATTGGATTTCAGCGATTGCGAGCGTCAGCGCAAGAACCACAGAACCTCCGACAGTTGGCAGAAGCACTGCAGGCAGAGTGGGTGAATATGAGCAAGGCTACAATTTAGGATGAACAGATGACCTTTATCTTGAAACTCCACTGATCCATGTGTGCCATATGAAACCTAGGTCAATGACAATGATGTGCGTCAATTTTGAACGATCGATAACCATCTGTTGATTATTTATATGATAGGTCAAATATACATAAACATTTTTTGTAATTGCGTTTCTCTTTTTGCAGAGTATATTAGCAGCAGAATCTCTGCACGTACACACACTTTAGAGTGTCGACCTTACTATGACACCAGATGCGTCAGAATAGCGCAATGACAGCCGAGACAGCGATGCGTTCGTTAGACATCAACAGCTTTGAGGAAGATAGTGTCACGTGCATACACAAGCCACGCCCACTCATGAATATTGTAGACTTAAGACCATTGTAGGTTTAAGGGCACAACAGACGTACTTAGGTTTGGTTAGCTGTCGTACTGACATCGCTGTGTTGACCGTGCTGTCTCGGGATAGATATCACAAATTTCGAGTAAAGCAGTCCCTCATAGACACTGATCTCAACAACCACACCTGTCTCCAGTAAGTGAGAGCTACACAACGTGCACCTGTGCACCCACAGCTATTATAGTCTGGTGCTAAAGTGGAATTGAGTGTTGCCATCATTGGTATTGGAGAGACGCTGTGGAGACAGTCACTCGGAACAGAGATGATGTGGAAAATGTAAGTTTGTAGTTTTTAGTTGTTATCATGTTTGTACACTTCCGGAATGAATCTCTATTGTGATAAATTATTTCACTGTTGTGACGTTTAACGGTGAAGGGGCGGTCGGGTAGCCTAGTTGTGAAAGCGTTCGTTCGTCACGCCGATGACCCGGCTTCGATTCCCGACATGGGTACAACATGTGAAACCCATTTTTAGTGTCTCCCGCCGTGATATTGAAGAAATATTGCAAAAAGCGGCTTAAAACCATACTCACTCATTCACAGGATGTTCAACGCGTGTTCATGTAAACTGCATTAAATACTGGACTTATTGTATTGTATTAAGTCAAACGTAGTGACACCAAAAACTAGAGCTAAGATATTGAACACTATTAAACATCTTAACACTAGTTTTTGGTGTCACCACGTTTGACCTGTTACAATACAGTAAGTTCAGTATTCAATGCAGTTTCCATGAACACACATTCCACCATGTGTTGACAAGCTCAGCCACCAGAAAACAATCAATATCACCAGTTTTCGATGAATATGATTCAAAGAAAGCGAGAATACCCTTTTCATATCAAATAGAAATCTCTGCATAAAGCAGAGTCGATAATACGATTCCGACTATATCATGAGCATGTGTTTATGAATCACTATCAAATAGTGATGATGCCAGGTGTTCGCGAAAAGGTGAGCGAATCCTTCCCCACGGGTGTCACGCGTCACACACACTGCAAAGGCAAGTCGGTTTTCCATCTGAAAAAAACAACACGGGAACACATGGTATAAGGCAAAATAGGGAATTGCATCGGACATAATCTTTGTCACTGATGCGTCAAATTTGGAACATGCCTACCATTAAACTTTGCTGAGGCCTTGAATTTTGTAACCTTGATCAAACAATGTCTGAGCGAGAGTCAGAAACACTAGGACAAGGATAACAGGAAGCAGGCAAGTATGTATTTCCGAGGTCACGAATATCGCCCATGATATGATCTGTTGTGATTGGTGTGTGTGTGTGTGTGTGTGTGTGTGTGTGTGTTTTGAGACCACTGATTGGGGAGATACTTCAAAACAGACAAAGGAAATTCATTAAAGGACCACACAGAAGTTCATCTTGTGAAGCATGATATATCACAGTAACGTAAAATACAACTTGACAACCACTTGTCACTGATCACCAGTGTCTACTGTAGGCCCATGCCACTGAGACGGAAGAAACGAGGAGGTGAAACAAAATGATACAAAAGATTTGGGAGATAACCCTGATGTGTAGGCTCATGGACATCTGAAATAACGTAATTGTATTTGAAACGGATCGTGTCCTCAGTAAACTGAAATACACATGAAGTGTTCCTATACCTTCAGTACACGACAATCAGTCCCGAAGTCCACGGGGGGGGGGGGGGGGGGGGGGGGGGGGGGGGCAGTGGCCCAGTCGTCTAAGGCGCCGCGATTCGCTGTGCAGAGTTGCGTCCCTTGGGCACGCCAGAATCCTATGATTGTGGGTTCGAATCCCGGCTCGTGGGTTTCACCGAAGTGGTAAACGTCTGAGACCTGCATCACTTCGGGCTTTCCTCCCACATTAAGCTGACACGCCGTGATATAACTGGAATACTGTTAAAAGCGGCGTTAAAAACCCAACTCACTCACTCACTTAATGGGTCGGTTGGTCACGCTCGGTGACCAGGTTGTTTGCGTTTCATCCGGCGTGGATTGTTGCTCATAATATTAATCACTGGTTTTCTTGTCCAGAGTCAATTATTTACGAGCCGCAGTCATATGACTGGAATGTGAAATGAGGCGTTGAACAATACACAAACAAAAAACTATAATTGGCCACCAGTGCACAGTTCAAACCCCTGGTCAGTGCTTTTTACATACACGGTGTTTAGTACATGGACATACAATCACTATATTCCATGTGATATAACGAAAAATATTCCCCGTATGGGATGATGGATCGGGTGTTGTATCTTTCCAGTCCCCAGTGCCCAGCACCATTCATTTACTCGGGACACACAATCAGATAAGTAATACCTAGAAGCTCACTGAGTTGTTCTCCCATTAATACATAGAGGATATTTCATGTGTCGAGTGAAATATCACGTTTCTCTAATCGAGTGATCTTTTTCACGAGATTAGAGAATGAATGAATGAATATGGTTTTACGCCGCTTTTAGCAATATTCCAGCAATATCACGACGGGGGACACCAGAAATGGACTTCACACATTGTACCCATGTCGGGAATCGAACCCGGTTCTTCGGCGTGACGAGCGAACGCTTTAACCACTAGGCTACCCGACCGCTCCCACGAGATGAAACATTATGTATCACGAGACACATGGATTGTCTTTTTTATCATATAACTTTTGCGTAGTTGTCTACCGGCAAATTATTTCATTACAAATATAAAACCTTAAAACGTAAATTCTCCCTACCTCACACACAGGGACGGTTCATCGCCCCTTGTATTTGAGACTAAAAAGTAGTTTTCGTGTTTGTAAATTTAAAAAAACAAAAAACTAGGGTCACGAAAGCTCTGTATCATACATTATAGATATGATTGCAAATCAACTTTTACTAAAACATATTTTTGAAAATTACTAGGCCGCTGTTGGGAGAGAAAGAATACACGCTGGTCAAGGAACAAAAGTGGCGCTTTGTGAAACGAAACGTCTCAATTGACGGGTTAAATCATAAATGTACAGTTTATAACGAAACGTTTTCAAGAGAATAACAAACGGCACGAAGCTATATTTACACCATAAATGATCATCTGTCATTATTTTGCCTTGTCAATGTGAAACTAACGTAAAAAGGAAGTCAATAGGGCTCAGACACGAACGATAAAGGGAGACAATTTGAGGGGAGGTAACTCTTGTATGACAATAGTTCCGTCAATGTGTTATGGTTCACAGCAGTGAAATATCAGGTGCTATGTTCACTGCAATGACAATATCACTTTTTTCAACTTCGGAAAACTCCGTCTTTCACACTGAAGTATATAATGCATCGTGGGGCCACCCAGTCGTCTAAAGCCCCGGAATTCACTGGGCAGATTCGGTTCACTCAGGCGTGCCAGAAACCGTATGATCGTGAGTTCGAATCACGAGTATGTTTCTGGGTTCGTCAGAGCCACACCCGTGCTCGTGGGTTTCACCAAACTGTCTACTACCGGCATTACTTCGGGCTTTCCTACCACAGTAATCTAACACGCGATATAACAGAAATACTGTTCAAAACGGCGTTAATATTGGCCCACTCTTTCAAACACTCACTCACTCATCCAGTATATCAACAGTATGCTGCACCAGCCTCACAGATATATTCCCTGACAATGTCCATTTCTCAAACATCATCTCAAACGCAATTCATGAAACTTCTTACTCGACAATTTCTTTTTCTATGTTTCAGTGGCCATCTTGAAACGACAGCCTTCTGCCAACTTCTCCTCATCCTGCTGCTAGTGACGCTGACATCAGCAGCACATCACGGGAACTGTGGCGACAGCTGGTGTAGCTGTGACAATCACACCAAACAAGCAACATGCAAAGGTCACGGAACGAAACTGACATATATTCCAAGGCTACCAGAATTCACAACTGACGTGGATTTCTCAGGAAATTTTCTTCCAAACATGTCCTCAAAAACTTTCAAGAATATTAAATCACTTAAGTTGAAAAGGTTAACTCTGAAATCAAACAGGATAAGGAGCATGTCAGCTGACTCATTTATTCATCTCAGTACTTTAACAGAGTTGAATCTTGATTACAACAGTTTCTCAGGAATGTCTTTAGCTGGAACATTCCCGACTTTGAGCCATCTTCCTCTTGTAAAATTATCGCTTGTGCGACTAAAGTTGAATGATTCACGCATCTTTCATCAGTTACATAGTTATACAATCAAGTCCATAGACCTAGACAGAAACGACTTTAAAAGTTATAATCAGACCGATTTTAGTGGCCTCTTCAACATCCAGAATTTATCTTTGGCTTACAATTTCATCCGTGAAGTAAATCTGGCGTACACCCCATCGTTACTGGTGTTGAATCTGAAGGATAACCTTATTCCCACACTACCTAATTTTTGTTTGACAAATGGGTCCTTTTTCCCAGGCCTTGGAAAACTGAAGTTGGATCACAACTATATATACCAACCACTTGAGGGTCGTTACATTCAATGCTTAAAGAATTTGGTTGTCTTTTCTGCCAACAACAACCACCTTGAGGCAATAAAGCCAAATTCATTCTCTGAAATGCCAGCACTGACTTACATAATCCTGAGAAACCTCGGAGGAGGCAACCTTTATATAGACAAATATGCTTTCAATAACAGCAAAATAGAATACATTTCTTTAACATCAAGCGGTATACACTTCAAGAGACAAGTACACAAAGATGCATTCAAAGGATGCCCCAATCTTCAGTCAGTTGATGTTTCTTTTAATCATTTTTCAAACACATCCGACCAGGACCTAACTGCCTGGTTTGGACACTTAAAATCTTTAACAGGATTTGGCCTTGGAGGCTGTGGAATCAAATTGTTTCCAACGTTTGTGTCAGTTTACTTAGAAAACTTACAATATTTCAAACTGTATGGAAATTATATCTATAAGTTACCCGCAGGTGCGCTGACACCTTTAAAGAATCTTACCCATATTTGGCTGTCAGGTAACCGATTAGCCAAAATAGACGAGCGAGTGTTCACCTCTGAAGTCCAACAAAAGCTTCAAGTTGTTGATTTAATGCACAACCCATATGCATGTAACTGTGAACTCCACTGGTTCCTCAAGTGGACAAAGTCCGAACCTCACAAATTCAAAGACTATCCAGAGAAGTATGTGTGTTCCAGTCCGGGGGAAATGAGAGGAAGCATGCTCTCCAAAGTAGATCTGTCTGAACAGCCTTGCCTTCTCCCTTTCCCTGCTATCTTTGCCCTGCTTGGAGTCTGTGGGATTGTCTTCCTTGTCCTCATCTCAGGGTCTATTACGTATAGATATCGATGGCACATTCGTTTTTTCATGTACAGAAGAAGATACCAGAGAGGGGAATGTCAACGACTTGAAAACATAGAGAATACATACGATGCTTATGTAATATATAGTGTGGAGGACATCAGATGGATCAAGAACGAACTCATTCCCAAAGTAGAGGAAACACATGGTTCCAGATTGTACATTCGTGACAGAGACTCTTTGGCTGGTATCCCTATCGTCGATAACGTTGTTAACAATATGAATGTTAGTAAAAGCATCCTGATTCTTCTGTCGAATGCCATGGCCAGAGATGAGCAGTGTCAGTTCGAGCTGATGTTTGTCCAGAGACAGCTGGAAGGGGAGAGGAATCCTATCATCCTGGTCCTGCTGGAGGAGGTGCAGGTCGCCAACATGACTCAGTCTGTGTACGCCCTGGTCAGGATGCATCCCTTCATCCCCTGGGGGGACGAAGAGGATGCCAGAAGATTCTTTTGGGATCGCTTAGTTTTGTCACTTAATACTGAACGCGAAGTCAGGCCAGATGTTGTCGATGCATAATTTATTTACTTTGACACTTTGGATTAATTGCGGATTCTAAGAGTGTGTCTAAGTGTTCTAAGTAAGGTGAAAGTGGATACCAGAAGATTCTTTTGGGATCGCTTATTTTTATCACTGAACAATGGACGAGAAGACAGACTTGAGGCTGGAGATACTCAACACCTCTCATGAAATGTCACTTCATCTTTGAATTGCGAGAAGATGTAGATCTCAATTGCCATTACGTTGGTTTATCCTTGATTTCAGCAGTATTTCGGTTTCATGACGGCGTACCAGTATGGAATGCCATAGGTCATAACGGTCGTAGATGTTCATCACCTTGGTGAAATCCACGAACACGGATGCAGTGTTGACAAACCCTGGATCATTATTATAACGAATTTTGTATTGGAACCAGCGATCAGTGCAACTCTGCACACTGTCGCCTCTGGTCTCTGTGAAATCCATGCCCAGTATTGACATGCACGTGACAGAAGTAGGAAACCTATGAGCATTAACTAATATTTTTTTAATTTGAAGTTTACACGATATGAAGCTTTTCCATTGGACGAGGGGTCGGTCACATTACCGCGAAATTGTCGTTCATAAGTGTATGAACGACGCAATTTGACGTTCATACGTTTTTCACGAGACCGTGTTCTTGAAATGACGTAAACACTGACGGACTAGTTCCATTCCATAGCACGAATACATGCAGAAGCGTTCTTTCTGAACATTTAGACCCTTAAATCTTGAACTCAGCATTTCAATGTACATTGAGAAACGTCAGAGAGTTTGACTGCATGATCGCTTACGAAGAATTGTAAACCTATAGAAAGTGTGTTCTGTGTTGTGATTGGCTAATTTGGGTCACATGACCAAATGTTAAAGGGTGAAAATATGATTTGCATTCCCTGAAGCAAGCGACCGAAGGTGTTAAAGAGTGCGCATGGTTTTTTTCTAAATAAAACAATAGGTTTACAATATCGATAAATACTATGTGTGTGTCTATTTCCGGGATTTTATCGAGTATTTGCATCTTGGAAATTTTCTTTCGAGCCCCGCAAGCTAACGCTTTCGGGTCTCGAGATGAATTTCCAAGATGCAAATACTCGATAAAATTCCGGAAATAGACACACACATATTATTTATCTTCTAAATGCACATCCAAACTACTGAAGTATCGGCTCGATCCGTGTCTAGGCTGATAGTGAATCTACAGCAGTCTATGAATTCACCTTAGTGTCGCAAGCTCCGACGTTCATACAGTTTGGCCCTCACTCTATGAAGGTTCATACTCCAATGAACTCACACAAAGTGAAGGTCAATTCTTAACACAACTGGTAAGAGGATCACGTACCATAATATTTAGGATGTATGTATGCTCAACTATTCGCTGTACCAAGTATGAAACCACTGCAGGTTTTTTTTATGTGTACTTAATTCACTTAGACAAATGTTATTAAAGGCGGATTCTATGAGGTGTCAAGGTGACCTTTCGGATTGTTCAGTTATAGTGGTTTGAGAAGTCGAGAAACGTAAATGAAAGTGACAAAACTCTTTCCATATTCATAAGAACACTCTGCCCAAAGCAGAGTTGACTGTGCGATTCCGGAACCCGTCACAAACACATGCAAAGGCAAGTCAATACTTCACCTGATCGGACATTGTATTCTCTGATGCGTCAAATTTGGAAATGTCCCCTACATGTCGACCATAAATTTTTTGCAAGCTTTACTGAGGCAATAAGGCAACCACCTCCTTTAAAACCCCGTCTACCGGGTTGTCACGCTGACATATGTATTAAACGTTGGTGACTATCATTTCCTGTATGTATTTGCGTCCCTCAGCTTCCTGAATTAGCCTGTACAACAGCCCGAGGTGAAGACGAGGCACTATATCATTTCCCGGGAAACACGTTTGTGTGAGGTGAAATGGGGTTTAACGTCGCGTCCAAGATTATTGCACTTATATAGCGACGTGCATGCACGTGTGTGTGTGTATGTGTGGCTGCTTGTACTATATAGTCCGGACTGATGCCGATTTTTTAGTGCTAGCCCACTGAGATCCCATGCCACAGTTTAACAAGAGTACCCCACTCAGATACAGTTTACAGACTCAGTGCCGAACAGTCCTTGTTTTTCCCCTTAATGCCGAGCGCCAGACAGGGTAACAACAAGTACCATCTTTTAACGTCTTTTGGTATGAATCGAACCCCGGACTTTCCGCTCTCCGGGCGGACGAAACACGTTTGTTGTAAATATTGTACTATTGCAGTCTAATTTTATTATTTGAATAAGTGTCACATTTGTAGATAAGATTAAAAAGTTTCAACGTGTTGGTTGATAAATGTCACCCTTGTAATGAAAGGCCCACTGTCAAGCATGTATTGTTGAATTCGTGTGCTCTTCAAAGTCGCAGGGGGTTCTTATTATGACGGGGAAATCTGAAAGATCTGTTTACGCTGAGAAAGGGTATCTGATCTCAAATTACGAGGCCTGTATCATATGATATCGCCTTGAAATTAGTATTGTGTTTATTATATGTAGTTAATATATGTGTATAATGTAAATGTATCATACCTTGTCTATCTGGTTTGATGTATAGCGAAACTCTGTGATGCGATATGTACTTTGATGTTTTACCGTGTTTAATCTATGTGAAAATGACATTGCCGATGCGACGTTAGATATTAACTCTCTCACTGACTCAGTGATGTGTTTTCACTTGTGATTCCCCACTTGAAGATACAGTGTGCCGTGTGACAGAAATGACATGGAAGTACGCGGAAGGCGAAAATGAATTATTACATTGAAGTGTCATTTTCATATTAAGCATGAAAAGAAATCTCTCAGCAGGATTAGGGTGATTATTAATCCTCTGATCCTGACATGTTGATTTTATCCCAAAAAACAATTAAGATTTTTCCCGACCTGTGATATATAGGGTAGGTGAAATGGGTGTTTAACGTCCCGTTCAAGATAAATACACTTCTATAGCTACGTGTGTGTGTGTGCGTGCGCGTGCGTGTGTGTGTTTGTGTGCAAGTGTGCGTGCATGTTTATGTGTGTGTATGTGTGTGTGGTGTCTCTGTGTGGTGTGTGTGTATGTGTATCTTTATTGTATATAAAACACCTTCTTATCGTGAGGAACTTATTACTTAAGTTAGTTAAAATGCTATTCCGTGGTTTCGTATTAAAGTGTGTTTAAAAACACACTCAATGGCTAGCCTACTGAAGCTGGTTACGTAACGGGTGGTTTGATCCGGAGTCTGTTAAGCTATGTTGGCAGGCGACGTGGCAATATTAACATCGGTAGAAGATTTGTTATACCCTCTGTGTATTTAGATGTGTACTTGTACTGACTAGTTACTATCAGTGCTGCTAGCTTGTGTATATTTGCCTGTTGTACGTACTCACACTGTGGGAGTCATTCTGTCAAGTGCTTACTTAAATCTTATGTGCTTTAGCCAGGTTGTTGCTTAGTGCTAATAAATGTTCAAATTGTGTGTGTTTTCGGGTTCGCTTTGAAACGCCTTTGTTAATTACGAGTTGGCTTTTCTGTGGATTGTGTCGTTACTCCAGCGAAGGCGGCGCAAACGATAATTGAGCACCGTGACAAAAAAATGGGGACTCGTCCGGGATTTTATAGTAATTTTGTTTAAGACAAGGTTCCCGTTATTATTTCCCGTGTGTGTGTCTGCTCGTACTGGACTGGACTAATGCCGGTTTTATATTACTACCCACTGAGATACAATTCCGCGAGGCGACTAACGGGATCGGGTGTTCAGGCTCGCTGACTTGGTTGATGCATGTCATTGTATTCCAATTGCGTGGATCGATTCTCATGATATCAATCACGGGATACTCAGACACAGTATGCTGACCCCGAGCAACCGACCAGTCATGGGTTGATCCTCTTTATGCCGAGCGCCAGGGAGGGAAATCACAAACACAAGCATGAAGCTGCTACTAATGCGCATGCGTAGACATGTTAGAAATGCAGGGACGTATCGCCATGCACGTTGCAGCCTCATAATGCCCACCCACATGTTGCACGTGTTTTAGCGGACCTTTTGAGACAGAGTAACATTGCTGTACTGCAATGGCCGGCTGTTTCTCCAGAACTCTCCCCCATAGAAGATGTCTGGGATGATGTAGGGGACGCCTACGACAGGACCCTGAACCAGCCGGTAACGCTAGCTCAGTTGGGCCAATCTTGTTTGACATTTGAAACAAAATCCTCCAAGACGTTTTCAATCATCTCGTGTCTTCCATGCGCCGCTGCTGTCTCGCCTGTATCAACACAACCGAGTGTTGCTGTTGGGAGTCGGCACCCTCATGTAGGTCTGCATTTTAACAGAGTCATCATTGCTGATTTGGGCGAACACTTAAAGTGACTGAGTGAGTATGGTTTTATGCAGGTTTTCTCACTATTCCAGCACTATTGTGACAGGGGACACCAGACATGGGCTGTACACGTTGTTCCCATGTTGGTAATCCAAGCCGTGTCTGCGGTGTGGCGAGAGAGCGTATTAACCACTAGGATACCTCACCACCAACGATTAGCTTGGATAAATTGGCAAGTTTGATTGAAGTCATTGATTACCACAATGTTCATGATGTACATGGCATCTCAGTGTTTTGTAGTGCCGAATATATACTGAGTAGCCACGGTGTGGCTTCATGGGCGCACACCGACGGTATATTTGGTGCCAGATTTGAAGAACTGCCGAAGGTTGTTATTGCCATCAATAGAGATATCCGCTGTGATTATATCCCCAAAAGGTTAGGAGCAGTATGATGAGCCAGCCGCAAGTAGATAGGTTCACCACATTAGCTGTCAAGTCCACGTTCCTATATTTGAAGGGCGGTCGGGTAGCCTAGTGGTTAAAGCGTTCGCTCGTCATGCGAAGACCCGGGTTCGATTCCCAACATGGTACAATGCGTGAAGCCCATTTCTGGTTTCCCCGCCGTGATATTGCTGGAATATTGCTAAAAGCGGCGTAAAATCAAACTCACTCACTCACACTCCTATGTTTGAATAACTTGGATGAAATACTGTTTGTATAGGAAAACGAAACTAAATAATTGCTCTTGTTAATAATTAAGGAAGTTATGGAATCTCCGGAAAGGATGAACTATATTGTCTGGTCTGAAACGGTTATTTACAGGCCGACATCATACATCTGGAATATCGCCGAGTACGGCCTTACAATAAACTAGAATATGGCGTTGTGGTTTGCTAATGTGTAATAGAGTAGAAAATATGTATTGACTGTTTATAGAAATCTTCGAACTCCAACTATATTATAAGCATATGTTTGTGAATCACTACGAAATAGGGATTTCTGGTGAGCGTATCCTGTCCCATCCCGCAATTCAAAGTGGCATTAAATCAAACTTTATAAGCAGAAGAAGACGGGAGTGTTTTTAAGTGTCTTGAGACAAACATGAGAGTTCATTCAGTATTGAAGGCCCCGTGGCCAAGAGTACAATTTCTTTCATATAACATGACTACGATAGTGGGATGTGGATGTATTACGTAATTTCTAAATATAAAAGTATATATCTATAAATAAATCTAACCTTTAATGCAGATTAACACTTCTGCTTAACGGTAAACTGGCAAATGTCTCTTTAGATAAAGAGCAAAACCTCTTATAACATTAACATTTTGGGGGGACTTTAGGTAGGCAAATGTCTGTCTTGATGGACAATGATGAAAATAACGAGGAATTGAACTATCTTTACTTATCTCGTAATATAGGCAAACTAGTGCTAAATGATATTCATCATCTAATTCTAATAAATCACAATTATTACAGAACATTAATTCAGGTTGTATAAACTGTTTGCTAAAGCGCTGTTTTTGTACTTTTAAATCATGTGCTAAAAGAAGCGCATGTAAAATCCTCCACTTCCATAAATCCTCTCTCTATCCATATATATATATAAACGATAAACGTCTGTTTGAAGACACGCGTGACACCACGTTTGCATGGAGACACGAGTGACACCACGTTTGCATGGAGACACAAATGGCAGCACCCATGTTTGCATACACGAGTGCCAACACCTAGGCGTGGATTTCTGGTGTCCCCCGCCGTGATACTGCTGGAATATTGCTAAAAGCGGCGTAAAACCATACTCACTCACTCACTCACTCCTCCATATGGAGACAGAGGAGATCCTTCCCTCCGACCCGCCGCCCCCAGTAGCAGGGTTTGAACTCGCTCCCCTCGAATCCAGAGGGGAGGAGCCCTTCCGCTCGCCCGAGGGCACGAGGTATGGGAGAAAGAAAAGGAAGAGGAGAGACATTCCCTCTCCCCAGACTTCCCCCGGCCCATCACCAACGCTGACCAGGTCCCTCAACGACAGCCACACCCAGACCATCCCGGTCGAGGTAACTGGCCCATCCCTGAGCCACAGTCTCTCTCAGACTGACCCGCTCGATGAGGACCCCCGCAAGGACCTAGACCAGCAAGCAGCCAAGGCCTTGGCACTATTCAAGCTCGGCTTCTCGGCCTGCATTGCCAACGACTACGGCAGGGTCTATGTCAGCACGCGCACACCACCAACACCACTAGTCCTGGTGCAGTACCTAGGACAAGAGCGGTTTGATCATGAGATCAGCAGCTACCAGGATCTCTCCGACTACCTGGCCAACTGCGACCTCAAGACCACCCCGAGTTCACCGCCCACTGTGCCGCCAAACTGACCAAGTCACTCTTCCGAGGTCTCAGCCCTGAGGAAGCTGCCCTAGCCAACAGGTTACTCAACGGGCACCCCCATTAGACGGCAGCAGACCCAAACCGCCACACACACGCTCGCCAGCCAACGCCGTGCCTTCCCACGCTTGACCCCCTCCCCTCCAACCCATGCCCACATTTTTCCATAATATTGTATATTATTTTATCCCCCGATCCCACCCAGCAAAACCCCCATCCCCCTTAGCTTTAGTAGATTAGGCCAGTAAAATTATTATATTTTTGGGGGTTGCACTTCTCTATTTATTCATTACGCTTTTTCCCCCCAA